AGGGGCTGATGATCGAGAAGAGGCGGCTATTGAGCCCCTAGAAACAAGTGCCCCACCTCAGTCGACAGATCGATCCACCAAGTCCCCATGAAGCCAACAAGCTGGTGGTAGTGGGTTCTTTCAGCCTCCAGCCTTTCGCTCACACTCCGAGTGCTCGCCTGCCTCCTGGGCTGGGCTGGCCTCGTGATTACACATGGGTCCGCTCCCCGCAAGGTCAGCAGTTCCAAACCAGCAGCCAGCCAACGGGAGAAGGATGAGGCTTTCTATTCCCGTGACCAGTTAGGGTGTGAGAAGCCCGCGGGGGCGTTCTCCTCTGACTACTGTCGGAGTGGACTTGAACGGACTGGACGGCAGTGAGTCTGTCGGCTTGCCCCTCCAGGGCAGCCTCTAGAGCCCCGCCTCCTCCTCCCGCTGAAGGGGCTGCATCGTCTCTGTGGTCGTTAGGGGTCTGCGAGCTAGCTCCAACTCACAGGGACCCTGTGCACAACAGAGCGCAGACACCGTGCGCGCGGACCTGCGCCATCCTCACAACCGTTCTCACGCGTGAGTCCATCCGTGCAGCGCCGTGCCTGTCGACCCTAAGGTCTTCTTCTCTCCCGCTGCCCCTCTACTCTGCCACGCCTGATGTCCTTCGCCAGCGACTGCTCTCTCCTGACAACCTGCCCAAAGGAGGTGAGGCGAAGTCCCCACCCTGGCCTCGAAGGGGCGCTCCAGCTGTACTGCTTCCGAGACACATCTGTTTGCTCCCTGGGCCGTCCTCAGTGCAAGCAATCGCTAGTCCCGGCCCGAGTGTGTGCCAGACGCATGTGAAAAGCAAACCCCTCATCTGTTTAGTTCCTAAAAAGACAAGTAGACGCTGAGAAAGCAGGGACTCCGTGCTGGCGAGCTCAATGCTGGGCCGCGATCCACCAGGTCAGCAGTTCAAAACCACTCTCCGCTCCGAGGGGGAAAGAAGAGGTCATCTACTCCCCTGAATAGTCCCGGGGTCCCACTCACTGCAGCAGCTCCGCCCAGTTCTGAAGGGCGCCGTGAGCAGAGCTGTGATTGTGGACTGCATTCACCCCGACAGTCGGGAGGGGACACGCTGCCCCCC